CCACATGTGTCTTCTCAATAAGGCGATGTTTCTAGATTGTTTTGAGGCAATGTGAGTGACCTGTAAATTCCAGGTGAGCGACCGATCCATATGTAGCCCAAGCAAAACTGTCTCCCTCACTTCCTGAACCTTCTCATCACCGATAGCAAGATCTAGTGAATTGTCAGGTATATTAGCAAGCCTACGTGGGGTTCCGAAAAGCATGCATTTGGTTTTAAGAATATTTAACACAGGTTTATTCATGCAAACCCAGTCTGATAAACTTACAAGGTCGGATTGCAAACCAATAGTGATGTCACTTATAGTCTTACCGGCTTTGTAGATAGATGTATCGTCTGCGTACATTTCAGATGTACTGCTTAACACAGACAAAGGTTTAGATTTTGAAAACTGTTAGAGATGCTTGACTGTGAGGTTCAAGTCCGTAGGACCGTTACGGCTCAGGATACCCACTGGGGTCTGGGCAACAGGATAATAAGATGGTAAACTTGAGATTTTTCCTAGACCTTGATACCAACAGGACTTTAGAGAGCAGAAATGGGGATTCCAAAATATGAAGGAACAAATATTATCATAACAGATTCCAAGGTACTGTGATCATGAAATTCTAATCAATGCTCTACAGTTCTTTGTTTACCTTGAACCCTGCACAGAATGATGTCAATTTTATTTTGTTGATACATGACACTGTATTTTGTCTGACCCTTACATGTACCTCTTTCTTCATGATCATGACCTCATTGAAAACTGGCTTGCATGCCAATTTGAGCTTCCATTAATAAAAAATGGTTCAAACAAATCAACAGTTTCGTTAGTGGTTTGTGATCAACAGACTAGCTATAGGCTGTCACTATATATACAGACCTCCACAGAGCCTTATACTGACCTGGTCCAGCATGACAAAGCCCCTGTCCCTGATCCCGGGTACTGACAGTTTGGCTCCTGTAGCTGCGGCCGGTAGAGTTGCCCTGTATAACATGAACCCATAGCTCTGCTGCATATTCTCCATGGTGATGGGATAGTCTGCTCTGATTGGTCCTTCCGGAGACAGGTCCGACAACTTGTCCAGCACTGTTGCTTCCTGGGAAGAAGTAAAAATGTGAAGA